TTTTGGAAGAGGTATTCGTTGATGAGGACAGGGGTAGATGCTGTTGTAGTCGAAGCATTCGACATTAACGACGTTGCGAACGATGTGTACGAGCACAATTTCGGCCACCGTCCCCATCAGGTGAGCATCCCCTTGATTTGCTTGCTGGATTGTGTTTTGTTGTGCGTTTCAAGTGTTGAATTCGTCTGGTGTTTTTAGGGTTTGTGTGAGCTTTGACTGTCGGGAACAGCTTGAAGTCGCGGTCAGAGCTCAAAAACTAGTTCAAATAGTTCAACAGCCAGGTTAAAACAAACAAGAGGATTGAGTATTTCTGATAAGAAAATGTTAAACGTTTAATGGAAACAAACTTGTAGTTAAATAGAAAGCTTTTTCTAGCTGATGATGTCTGAGTTTGAAAGCCTGTGAAAATTGTTTATGTGAATACTGAGTGGAAAAATATCCCTATGAAGTAGTTTTTAGAGCTGATTCACAGTTTTAAATCACATAATAAATGTTATCCATCACTGTGGGAATAGGGTAATATTCAGACATTGAGTGCTGTTGATCTCGACAGCTATGGGGCAGACGCGTGGCTCTTGTCACCCCCTTGCCAACCTTACACGAGACAAGGTGATTGAACCCTCTCCACCTCTCTCTCTCTCTCTATATATATATATATATGGGTGTGTGTATGTGTGTCTACTTGTTAGAAACTTGGGTTTTTATCAGCTTGCCGTAGCTTTTAAAAACAATCTTGTTAAGGTCTCCAGAAGGGTTCGAGTGATGCTAGAGCTTCTTCATTCCTGAAGATTCTTGAATTGATACCGCAAAGTTCACGGCCTCCAATGATGCTATTCGTTGAGAATGTTGTTGGATTTGAGGTAGATTGTTTTAGCTAGATGCATTTTATGTCGAGAGAAAAGAAAAAAATCAGTTAGCCTGTCAGTATATATCCTCTAATATTGGGTGTTGGCCTGCTGTTATATGTGATAAGAGTTACCTTTCATCCTAATTATTTACATGTAAGTGGTTTCGTTATTGTCGATGCAGATATCTGATACACATTCAAGGATGATTACAATGTTGCGGGAAAATCATTTCGACATTCAAGAATTTATTCTCAGCCCTCTGCAGTTTGGCATACCGTATTCCCGACCTCGCTATTTTTGTCTGGTCTCTCTCTCTGTCCCTCTTGCTCTCTCTCTCTCTCTCTGTGTGTCTCTCTCTCTCTCTCCCCCACCTCTAATACACATACATCTATTTTCTTTTTGAGTGGTTATGCTGGTTAAATGAGGTTTAAATTTTACTAAGTCTATTTCGCTGTCCTTCATGGCTGATATTGACCCCTATATCTTATACATCAAATCTAGTTAGTTAGTAAAATATTAATGGCATGGTTTATCTAAAATCGGTAACCTGTGAAAAGTTTATGATTGTCTTATTGGAATGAACTCTTACTTCAATGAGATGACTTCTTCCCTTACAATTCGTACTGAAAATACATCCTACCACATGAAAGAAAAGCAAGGCAACAAAATTTTTGCACTTCCTATATTTATATTTATCCATATTTTATTCACATGTGTTATATATTTTTTGCAGGCGAAGCGGAAACCTCTATCTTTTCAAACTGCACAGTTGAATAATAACCTTGTTTGGGCTCCGGGCCCAATACTTGGGTACGAAACAAACATGCCGACCAGAGAAGATGTAGAATCACTTGCATATTGTAATAAACTACTTGAAAGTTGTCAACCTATACAAGATTTTCTTGAACTAAAGGATTTGAGCTGTGAAGTTGATTCAGAATTGGGCATCATGCTTGCTAATGTTGAAGGAGGAAATGTATTCGTTGATAATATTTCATATCAGTATTTTGTTCCAGATAGCTTAGTGGAAAGATGGGGGAGTGCCATGGGTATCCTTCATTCTGTTTGGTAATTGTTACTCTCTTTCCCATGCACATGAATAGTTACATTTCTATAATTACTATGGTGTTGGAAAAAAAGAAAGAAAGGAAGAAAATCCTTGATAGATCTTAGATATTGTTTTCCCGGAGTCGAAGCGTTGCTGTTGTTTTACAAAAAGTTACTTTCGGTATGTGAAGGGCACTGGCTCCCTGTTGGCAACTGTTCAGGTATGCATCTGAACCCTATTAATTTCCAATATATATCCACAAGAGAGTTTTCTCAATACAAGACCCGAAAGATGAATAAAGTATCAAATCGAGGCCTGAAATATTTTTTTTTTCAATTCGGGACTTAAATGTTATAAAACTATCAAATAAGTCCTAGAATTAACAAAACCCATAATGCTATTAAATTGAGAGTTAAAAAAAAAAGAAAAAGAAAAGATTGGTGCGTACTCACAAAAATAATAATTAAACATTTGCACAAAAAAAAAAAAAACAGAAATAGACGATAGCAAGAGAACCGAGCAAGAGCTTCATACTTTCCTTAATTTTCTCCAACAATCTCGTATTTTTTTTAGTTTTCTTCATTTTTTTTTTCTTTGTAACAGATTTGGTGTTTCAAAACTTCAAATTAACTCTTGATTTAATGGTGTTATGAGTTTTGTTAATTCTATGACTTAATTTGATAGTTTTATAACATTTAGGTCCCGAACAAAAAAAAATCTTTTAGGCCCCGATTTGATAGTTTACCTATCTTTCAGGCCTAGTATTGAGAAAACTCCCCACCAGAAATTAATATTTACTTGCACTCAATTATTAATTATATTACGATCATCTGCACCTATGCTTATGTATTAAAAGTTGAGAAATTCACAAGAAAACAATGTATATATATTTTATTTTTTCGAGTGAAAATGCAAACGTGAGATGCTTTGTTAGTAATGGAGTAGCCGAGTAGCTTTCTTTTACAAAGTTTGCAATTATTAATATCACTCAAATTTTAGATTTTAATCTCCAATATTTACGCAGCTCTATTGCTAAAAATACATATTTGCAGGGAAAGATGAAAACTGAAACCTCTTCGCTGCAGGAGCTTCGTCTCAGATACTTCACGCCTAGGGAGGTACAGAACAATTATTTTACTCAAAAAGCTTGAACAGCTGCAGGCTTGATAGTGCCATAGTGGTTTTCTTTTTGCCTAATTTATTTATTCGAGCATGTATTCTTCAATGTTATTATTAGGTTGCCAATTTACACTCTTTTCCGGAAGAGTTCCAATTTCCACAGCACGTTAGCCTTCGGCAACGGTATGTTTCGTCTTTCTATGTTCCTTCTTGACATATTATGGCAAAAATGGGCACTCTAGACTGGAATTTCTCTTTTTTCAGAATTTAATAATTAAGTTTTTTTTTTTTTTTTTTTTTGGTAATACAGTTGAGAAATAATTGATGCCAAGGAATTGTCTTTACTTGCTTCGTACTGAACGAAAACGAGTTTGCATTATTATTATTTTTGTTTATTTCTTGTTAAATCCTTGAAGTGATCAGCATTTAGATTGTAAAAGTTTGCCAAATGCACAAGGTTCACAGACTAATAGCTGTTGCTAAATGTTTTCATATATACTACAGTTAACTCTCTCTCTCTCTCTCTCTCTCTCTCTCTCTCTCTCTCTCTCTCTCTCTCACAGTTATGCTTTGCTGGGAAACAGTTTGAGTGTTGGAGTTGTGGCGCCTTTACTCGCCTATCTATTTACTCATCAATCATCGAAATTCGAATTGCCTCTCGCACGCAAGTCAAACGGCATATAGTGAGTCGTTTCTTGTCATTTGATCATCCCACTGAGTTTGTTTTCCGTAGTTAATCCTGCCGGGCATCCGTTGAAGTAGACTCGAATTCCTCTCTGGTGTGTGTATTAGCTATAGGTTTACAGATTTCTGCTGCTTCTATTCAGGTAGCATTTTTTCTTAGCTTCACACTGGGATTGTAAATTTTGATTCATGTTATTTTTCAAGAGTTCTTTTCCAGTTTGTTAATTTCCAACATCTTTATTTATGATTTATTTTTGATTAGTCAAAAATTGTATTTGTAGTCTTGCTGATTTAATGTCATAGCAATTTTAATCCACAGTTTCAAACATTTCGTCTTTTAGTCTTGTGATTTAATAATACTTTGCTAGATTTTCGATTAGCAATTTAAGGCTTGTAATTTAAAATTTAAATGCAATTTCAATCCTCAAAAGACTTAAATTGCAGCAAAATATTAACTAACATGACAAAAAAGAGAAAATTTAAAACTTAGAACTAAAATTGCTGCTGCCTCCTTAAACCAATAGGACTAAAAATGTGCATTTAACGCTTACAAATTCCAATGAAATGGTTTTATAACGGGACTGGTGCCTAACCCTTTGTTATATATATATCTAATAATATTTCGCAGTTCATTGTGAAAAGAAAAAAAATATAAAAAAAGTTAAAATAAAAATTGTGTTTAATCGCACACACAGTTATAAAAACTACCTAATTTCGTGTAAGAGATGGAAAGTATAAAAAGTTAAAAACTCACACACACAAACACACACTGTCGTGTGATGCAATTTTTCTTGTTTCAATTTGGAGTGCACGTAATTTATACGTAATTGTGTAATAAGTTGCTGTTACAATGGTTTTGGTATAAATTCCCATTTTGATGCATTTATTTTTAACAATTTCTAAGATCCATTATAACAATTATTCCGTTGGGATTTGCAACGGTTAGATGCACATGTAGATTAGTGTAGCATGTGCATCTAATAGTTACAAATCCCAACGAAATGGTTTCGTAACGGGACTGTAATAACATTTTTCTATAACAAATAAAAAATAAGATTTATTCTAAAGTTTATAATCACATATATGATACGGGTACACAGATATATATCTATAATTGAAAAGTTTACAAACACGAGTACAACAATATAAATACATTTCATATAAAATTATATAAATGTTTAAAAAATAAATATACATTTTGAAGTATCGGATTTACTATGGAGTCATCAGATGGTTCGACTTATGGAGCCATCCATAGTTATTGACAATGTATTTGACACGTGTTCCGTAATAAATTCACATTAGACACGTATCAGTACATAAAGTTATGGGGACCCCTAGAATTTGTGTTTGATGTATATCGAATGAAATATAGGGAAGTGATACGGTCCCGTTACACTACCATCTTGTCTGATGTTTTAACCATTGGATTATATATCTTATCTAACTATACGTTGATCTAATTATTAAAACACCATCTTGTCTGATGTTTTAACCATTGGATCATATATCTTATTTAACTATACGTTGATCTAATTATTAAAACACCCGACGAGATGGTACCGTAACAGAACTGTAGCAATTGAATGTGGGCACGTCAAAGGTTATAAACCAATTTGTAGCACAATACCCACTTTATCCCTCCATTGAATATCCCATTCTCTCTCTTTTCAATTTTATAGTATTTTTTTTTTATGTTTTTTTTTTGTTGCCCCAATTTACTTGTCCTTAGCAAAAGAAACAAACCCTAGACGATTAAACTGAAAATCAGAAGTAATATTTAAGATAATCAGCGATCAAATCCACCTAATTGAGATAGCTCTGGTTCTTGATTTCATCTTAATTTTCGCTACAGGTTTGTACTTTTTTTTTTTCAAAATTTAAGGTTCAATTTCTCATTCTGTAAAATCCCTTGATTGATCGAGGTTCAGCTTTTTCTAACTTAGGGATTTTGTCAATTAGTGCTCTGTTTGTATATTTTTGCTCCATTCCTTTGTTATCTGGCTGAAATTTCATTTCATTTTGATGATTTGAGCAGATTTACCATTTTCATAGTGTTATTTTGATATATTTTTTCCACATATATATATATATATATTTACCGAGTACCGAGTCGAAAGATTCGTTTCCCGGTATATATGTCTGTGTGTTTGTGTGTTGGATTGTTGGAATTTGATGTAATATTTTTCTGGTGAGGTTTAGTTGATAATAATAGTTTACAGATCATCTCAAAAGGTCAGCTCTTTTTAAAGAATATATGTGATATGTAAGGATCCTTATTTATTATTTTTTTCCCTGAAAAAATGGTTATCTTGGTATCCATGATAGGCACTTGGTGTGAACCAAGAGATGCTGAAAGTAGCTTGAATCTAAAACAAATTAAACATGTTACATTTTTTTATTATGCAGGGAGCGCTTGATTTATGTCGGATTTTACGATCCCGATTTAGCCAAGTATTTTTCGCTTATTTTTATTTTTTCTTTTACCATCACAGGCTTTTTAGTATTTGCTCAAAAACTGATCCCTCATGAGATTCAAAATAGGGGATACAGTGGAGATTTTGAACAATAAGGAGGGGGGCCCGTTTCGTGGCTTACCGGGAAGATAATATCTGTTATTGGAAATAGTTATTTCGTTCAGTACGACTCAAGGCGCGAATCGTCGAGTAACCTAACTGTGGAGATGGTTTCAAGGAAGTTTGTAAGGGCACAGCCTCTTCTAGTCGAGAGTTATCTTGCTGGTGAATTTGTTGAGGTGTTTTATCAGTATTCATGGAAGGTTGGCATAATTTTGGATGTTTTGGGTGGCCAAAATGAAAATAAAAGAAATAAGAAGAGTCGGCAGGTGCAATATCTAGTTAGGATATTTGAGTGCTCGCAGGATTTAGTTATCAACAGCTCGGATATCAGGAAAAAACGAACTTGGCATGATGACAAGTGGGTTCTAATAGGAAAGGTATTTGCTTGTTCTTCTATACCTTTTTTTTTCACTATTGAGCCTTTTTCGACTATATGTGACCATTGAGTTTTTTTATTGGTTCCTTTTTTTCTTTCTTGAAATTCTTTCGACACTTTCATGTTTCGATTTTCTTGTTTCTGATGTTCTATCTTTTTGGAATGCTTTTGTTTTGTTCTGACGAGTTTTGTCGACATTTTCCACACCATTTTCTCTCTTACAGACTACTACACACTCTTCACTCGAAAGATATCAAACTGCTTTTCCGAGATGTGAACTTCCGAAGCAATAATCCACCAAACTATTCGAAATCCACTCCTCTTAATCCAACCGCAACTTATAGTTCCCCAAACACGCCCTTTACTTATCTCGTCGCTCTTTTTTTTATTATCTTTTTTTCCCTGTTTGCAGAATTCCCCATCAGGCGATGACGTTAGCAATCGGCCCAAAAGGCACCCTATGAATCCACCCGTGGGCCCCACGAGGTCCTTGAAGAGAGCACCCGACCACAGTTCCTCGGTTTTCGACGGGCCCGCTCGAAAAATACGAGCGATCGAGAAAGAAGGCCAAAAGCAGCAAGCGGAAATGGAGAAAACAAACGCTCGTGCTCGTTCCTCGTTCAAAGGCTCGTACAGAGGCCCCGGCGTTAGTACTTCAAGTTCAGACACCGATTCTTGTTCGGTCGGCAGTTGTAGTATCATCTCAAACGGTTATAAAAACTCGTGCGGTAATTTCCTCCTATCGACAAGTAGTGATGCCGAGTCATTTTATGGTCCAGGCAAAATCTTCCTCTATCATAATCAACCCCCGGAAAAGGATTTAGAGGTTAGCGTACGTGAGTTGGAATTGCAAGCTTACCGCAGCACTTTGGGAGCTTTGTATGCCTCTGGTCCATTGAGTTGGGAGCAAGAGGCTATGTTGACTAATCTTCGTATTGTGCTCCACATTTCGAACGATGAGCATTTGAAGGAGCTGAAGCACCTAATTTCCAGTGATGTTTCTGTTAGTGTTAGATAGGGTTGTGAGAATAAGCATTATCATGTAAGAAGTGAGAATAAGTGTAAGATTTTGTATCTTGATCTGGGCAGACGACGGTTTGTAACTATTCTGTAAGTGACGAAGCGTGTTGAAAGTTCGTGCTCGTAAACAAAATGCGAGCAATATTTTCAACCGGTTTAGCTTCTTTTATAAGAATTACACATTCTATTGAAATTTTAGCAGGACTTGTATACATGTGATGAGTGTGTTGAACATACTTTTGATTCTTTAATTTGCTGGACTATAAAGGTTGTTTAGCACCACTTATAATTAGCTACAATAGATTTCTTCTATTAACCCTACGGGTTACTGCAGGGGTTTTTACCATTGGATAAAAAAAGGTAAAAGATAGCATCTACAATGCATTGCGTATAGTCTTTACCTATGTGGCATGTAAATAAACCCAAGTCGTTGATGACATGGATGAAATTATGTAACATTGATAAAATCCACTCCAATGCAAAGAGACTAGGTCTCTACTTGGGCCTAAAATAGACTTAAGGGTAGACCAGGTCTTTTTTTTTTTTGCTACTACATCAGGAGGACCCGGTCTAAATGAATGCATGTGTTCGTATTGATTGAACGCCAAAAAAAAAAAGCAGAGACTGCATGCATGCTGTATACAAGTGCATTTTGGCCCTTAAATTGTTTTATTACCAGCATTCATCATCCAAACAAACACAATATAGAAAATATCCGAGATGCATATTCAAATCCTATTTCTTGTGTATTCTACTCTCAGGCGAGTTGTATTGCAGTGGTGAAAGAGGCTCTCTTAGCATATTCATATCTCCAAAGTCGATCTTTTTCTCTACCGGGCTGCACGTCCGAGGGCTCGATTTTCTCTTCCCCTGTAAGCAAAAAGGAGGAAATAACTATGACAAACTCATGATTATATGAGTGAAAAGATATCTTGTATTTAACACATAATAAAAAAGAGAATAAAAAAAATGCAGAGATGCCACTTAAAATGCTATAGCCTATACCTTTCCTGAAACACTGCCTCCACCCGAGCCACAACCGTGCTTTTCCCTATAGCATTGCCGCATCAACTTTTTGTTCTCCTTATCTAGCATGCTGTTCTCTTCAAATAGAGCGTTCACCTGAAGATAACTCGAAAAATGATTACAAAAAATATCCAATTTTTCTTTTTCTTTTTTAAGTCCCAATCATTGTCAGAAAATCCCGATCGACATATCTCTATATTTTACAAATTAGGTAATTTAATCATGGAACAACCTATTTTACCCATTTTCAAATATTGACGAATTCTTGTTTTTTCCCCATAATTTGAGGTAATTTCTCTAAAGATCTCATTAAATGTTTAATGAATATACCTCCTCCTCAGCTCTAAGCAGATTTGTTGTTAAATGCTCTTTATCTTTTTCCAAGTGTTTCATTTGTGCTGCCAGAGCTACAACCTTCTGGTTTAAAGGCCTCAAGCTAGAACAAAACATAAACTCCAGTCAAATAATACACAAGAAAGAGCGAAAATAGAAATTGCAGTAATCCAAAGCCCTATCTCTAAAGTGTAGTTATAAAATATTCCACGCTTTCCTAATCTGTAATGACATTCTCACCTATTCCACATTTTCAGTAGCTGCTGGCAAACATCCAATCCACTATTTGCCTCCAAAAAGATATGTGCAGCCGAGATAGTGTCATCCTTCTCGAACAAAGTAGTTAACAATGAATCAAGTAAAACTTGTTCCACATTCAGCTCATCCGCAGACACATTAACCTTCAGCCATTACATATGAATAGTTCAGTCTCAAGAAAGTAAAACTAGAAACAGAAAGCTTATCAACATGTTCTAAACTCGGTAGTAACAGTAAATTTTTCTTTCAGAAATAAAGAATCCCACCTCCAATATCCATTCTGACACTATCTTTCTTGCTGTAATTTCCTCTCATTGATGTCATTTACATGACTGCACACAACCTAAGATTCTAACTTAAAATAATTTTGTGAAAAAAAACATGACTGCTGAGGTATGGAGTAATTAAAAATGCACTACAAAATTTGCACTCATTTTAGTTCCTCACAAAGCATTACCAATGATTTCAAACCAGGACATGTATTCGCCTATACTACAACAAGTAAGATGCAAACTCTACAAGGGAAAAAGGACAAAATCTATGTGCTTATTACTGCAAAATCAAAGCTGGCAATCCATAGCCATAAACAAACATCACTAATTCCACACAGGAGAAATGAAAATTAACAAGAACAGGAGAAATGAAACTTTGACTGAAATAAATGAAAATCAAATTTACCGACTTCCCCTCAGATTGAAATTTGTAGAAACTCAGCTCCTCCACCAAGTTCTTCCTCTCCTCCTCCAGAACACGATTCCTAATTTCAGCTTCCTTGGCCCTCTCATCCGCCTCATTAGCAAAGTCCATCAAAGCCTCGCGATCTTGGTCGTAAAGGGAGCACTCTCTCTCCCAATTGCTGCACGCTGCCAACAAACTCGAGCACTCAGTGGCCAGTTTCTGATTTTCCTCCACGAATTTTTTCAATGCCATTGCATTCATACTGGCCTCCGCCTGTTTCAAGACGATCAACATAAACAATTAGATAAGAAAAAATAAAACCTAACAACAAAGGTGACAGAGAGCCCCACGCACAAAAATCGAAAAGGAAAATAACTACAGACTAACTAACCCTAGATCTCTCGATGAGTTCATCTTTTTCTTTAAGCTTGGAGAGCAAGGACAGGTTTTGGCGGCGTAGGTGCAGATTGGAAGTCTCGACCGCTCGAAGTTTTCGAAGAAGAGCGGCTGATGAAACCTCGAGGCCCAGACTATCATCGATCGATTCTCGTATATAATTCTCGGTTTCTTCAGAGAGTTCCATTTCAGTGTCGTCGGAAATTTCTGACGAAGACAAAGATTAGGGTTTTTTGTAGACTTGAATAGAAAAAGAAATTGGGATTCTGCAACGGAGAGGGACGGTGGAGAGAGAGTATTGCGATCGGAGGTTTTGAGGTAAAGAGAGAGAGAGACGGTGGAGAGAGAGAGAGTATTGCCGATCGGAGGCTCCTGCAACGGAGAAAAATTTGAATTGAAATTGAGAGGGATATAAAGCTTATAACAGTCGAAAGAAAAAATTGTACAAATAATATATTTTTTTTTCTTTGAACACTAGAATGTAAACTTCAAAATTGTACAAGTATGAAGAGAATTGCAAATACCTAAAATACCCCCATGTGATAGAGGAAAATGCTACGATTTGTTACGGAACTATTTCGTCCGGGTTTATAATCGTTAGATCATCATGTAACCGTCCGGGATAATTGATCTGATAGTTACGAATCGCGACGGAATGGTTCCGTAACGAAACAGTAACATCTCCTTATAATATAATGTTTTATATTACCCTTCAAACCAATTTATTTGTCTTCCAAATTAAGGCCCGATGTTTCTTCCCTTCTATTTTTTTTTTTTATTTGATATTTTGCTTAAAAAAAATAAAATAAAACCACCAAAATGCTTTGAAAGTTTGTGCTTGTCAATGAAATTCAAACAATTTTTTTCTTAACCAGTTAAGCTTTTTTCTTTTTTCTTTTTTTTTTTCCCCTTAATACGAATTTACACATTGCATTAAAATTTTAGTAGCACTTCTGTACATGTGTTGAGGATGTGTGTTTATTGGTCGAACGAACGAAGAAAAAAAAAAAAACTCAATTACTGCATGCAGCCATCGTGTGTGTATAATGTATTGATCGAACGACAATAAAACCGATGACTGCATGCAATCACCAGTAGACTTGAATCTCTCGTAAGTTCACACAGATTATTTCTCAATGACTGTATGCAGTCACCAATAGAATCGAATCTTCCGTAAGTTCACATAGATTATGATGACTGCATGCAGTTACCAATAGAATCGAATCTTCCATAAGTTTCACATAGATTATTTCCCGATGACTGCATGCAGTCATCAATAGAATCGAATCTTTCGCACGTTCATATACAGATTATTTGAACATCATTCAATCAATAAAATTATAAGTTATTTTGCAGACTAAGACAATGTAACCAAAAAGGTGCCGCAAACGAAAGCAAAATATAGTAAAGCTAAAAACTTGTAGAATCGGTCTTCATGGAACATTTTGAAGATCAAAACCATGTTCAACAAAATCAATCACCAATACACGAGCAGTTGAAGACACCAAGGCAAACTACATGTATTAGGACAACAACAACAAAAACAAAAGCGGAAAAAACAAAAGACTTTGGGAAGAAAAATCCTTGAATCCCATAAAAGAAACAGATGAAAAATCCGAGCATGCCACAATAAAACGCAGGATGGATCAAATGCCCGGGTAGAGATGCTTTTAGTCGAATGCGTCATCATCATCATCAGGAAGAGGTTGGCTAATCGCAGCTAAAAGTTCAGACTCGTGCCTACACAACATATATTTATGAGAATTAGAATTTAACCAATATTTCAAACACTTGAAATCAGAAAACATGTAACAAAGATCCAAAAGCAAATCCAGAATGGTAATTATTATTGTTTGGATTTGTTAGAGAACTTGTTCATGTGAGAGGATAAAGAGATAAGCTCTTACTGTTGTTGAGCAACCAAATCGATTTGAACTTCAGGTGGGGCGAGAGCAGGAGACTCAACAAAGTGCAAGTTAACATCCCTACAACCAGAGGATAATAAAATCAAATATCAAGTTGAGATTTTCATTGCTCATGCATTTTAAAAATCAAATTTTGACTTCATTTTTCCTTAGAAAAAAAGTACGTGAGGATATATACCCAGCAAGCTTCCGGGCAAGGTACAAGAAGGGCTTCTCGAAATTATAGTTACTCTTTGCCGATATCTCATAGTACTGCAAGTTCTTCTTACGGTGGAAAGTAACCTGTTTTGCCTTCACCTGCCTGTTCTTCACATCGACCTTATTCCCACATAGCACAATTGGGATATTCTCACAGACACTAAAAATGGGTCCAAGAATATTAATGTCAAACGATATTCGATTGCCACATTGCATGTAAAAAAAAAAGAAAAAAAAAAAACTAAATGGGATGAAATATACCGGCAAAGATCACGGTGCCATGTCGGGACATTCTTGTACGTCAATCGAGCTGTCACGTCAAACATAATAATGGCGCACTGTCCATGGATGCTGAAAATTATTCAACAAATTACCATGTTAGTAAAACAGAAAATGCACAAAAGAAAACAAAAGGTAACTCATTTTGGCATACAACGAATAAATCGACACATACTAATATCCATCTCTAAGACCACCAAATTTCTCCTGACCGGCCGTGTCCCAGCAGTAAAATCTGATTTTCCCACAGTTAGTGAAGAAGTCCAACGGATGAACCTCAACACCAATAGTAGCTGTTCAATGATAGGACATAAAAGGCTCAAACAACTCACAAAAGCAAGTTCAACAATCGGAGCTAAAGCAGAGACGATGAAAATGTATCTCACGTTCATATTTCTTCTCGAATTCGCCCGTGAGATGCCTTTTCACAAATGTGGTTTTCCCTGTAGCATCACAAGGCAACTACTTAAGCAACAAAGAGAGGTTTGAAATCAATGAAAAAATACAACAAAATCATTCATAAGCATAAAAGCAGAGTTCCCTTCCAAATTCCAAAATCCAAATAACAATATCCTCGCAATTAAACCCTAAACACCAACACAAGTTCTTCACAGTTCCAAACCTCAAACCACATCTATCAAACATCAAATGACCGCAAAGAATTTAGAAATTACAAGGAACAAATTGCAGTAAAACACAAATAATAGCACCCGCCACAAGTTCCAACAATCAATTCAGTAGACCCATTTTCAGATCACCCAAAATGCAAAACAAAAATTTTGATCAACTACACAATGACTAGTGAATCTGAGCTCAAGGGCATATGAAATTTTGAGACAAAAATCACCTGTGCCTCCATCGCCGACAATCACAAGCTTGAAGCTCGGGTAATCCACCGTCTGCTGATTCGGCAACGCCTACAAAAACCCATCAAAACCATACACACACGGGAAAACAAAACAAAATTAAATTAAAGTATTAAACCAAAAAAAAATAAAAAATAAAATCTCAAAACAAACCTAACAAAACCCATAAATCATCCAGAAAACACGACTGAATGCTGTAACAAAACTAAAAAAACAGAGGCTTACCATGAGATTGCAGCTGCTACTTGAAAATCAACAACGAAAATTAGAGAAAATAATACAGATTCAGTTGCAGAAGATGGTTATCAGTTATCACCAAGCTTATGAGCGTTTGCGTGATTTGTGATCACATCACATATATATATAATTCCTAATGAGGGTTTTGCAAATTTGGGCGTAAGCTTTAAGCTCACGCGATCAGCTGTGGCGCATCCTACTTTGAGTAGCCGTTTGAAATTTGAAAATGCGGCTGTTTAATTTCAGTCTGTACGAATCCTGAATAATCCATGCAAGCAATTATTATCGGAGTAATGCTACATAACCAACCTAGTGTACAACTAGGTTAACAACACAAGTGTAAACACTCATAAAATTAAAAATAAAAAAAATACACAAATGGATGTTTACACTTGTATTGTCAACCTAGTTGTACACTAGGTTGGCAATTTAGCATTTTTCTTATCGAGTCTTAACTACTATTTATTACTACCTCCTATTTTTAATATATGTCGTTTTGAAAAGTTACACACTAATTAAGAATATTTTTTTTGTCAATAATAACTTTATTTAATGAAGATAGAGATGAATGTTTTGAGAAAAAGTAAAGAGTGAATATGAAAAGACGTAATGTATTTATTGGTTAAATGAGGGTAATAATGGAAAAATATGTACAAAAGATCCAAAACGACATTTATTTGGCAAATAATTGAAAAAGCTGGAATGACATTTAAAAAAAATAGGAGGGAGTACTATTTTTCTGCAAGAATAGAAGTAAATAATTATTTGGCTTTTGCTGCAAAATAATTTATACTAATGATTGTTTGTGATAATAAAAACTAAAGAATTATTTTGGCTTTTGTTGCAAAATAATTTAAACTAAATGATTGATTGTGATAACAGAACTAAAGAATTATTTGGTTTTTGTTCCAAATTAATTCAAAATAAACAATTGTGCCAAATCTATATTCTATCACAATATTCACTTGTGAGTAGTCTAACAGACTACTCCTCTTACCATCAATTGGTTTTGGGGTAGAACACCCGTTTTTTCTCGTTTCTTAATATGGAATCGTGCAATGACGTACTCATTTCCCAGTCCATTTTTAGTAGGGATTGAACACCACGCTAATTTATAAGTCTAATGAGTTACTCTTCCTACCAACAATTTATTTTGAGATAGAACCTCACTTCGGCTTCATATGAATTTTCTGTCTTCGGACACTTCTTCATATGCGTAGAAGCGCACTAGTCTTTCCTCTCATTGCTTACATATTCCATAAATGATAGTTATATTATATCACACATTTTATATATTTGAAAGATGATAGGTGCATCAACATCATAAAATGCTTACTCAACGAAATTCATACCATCCTATAAACTTGAGTAATATTAAAATTGTGTTAAATGTTCTCAAAGCACACAACATGTGCAAGCAAAAACCAGGAGCAAGTAATGAAACAAAAAACATTAGAAACATGACAAAAAGCAAAAACTCAAAACAATATAAATTCTAGATTCGGTCTTCATCACTACATAGAAATAATCCGCAAGGAAAATGTTGAAGATCAAAAACATCCTCAACAAAATCAATCACATTCCATCCACAAGCATTTGAAGACACCAAATCAAACTACATGTACCATTAGATATTAGAAAAAAAAAAACTTAAAAGATAGAAATAAAAAAACAAAGGACTT